AATGAAATTTGTAAAATGAATGGAAAATTTCCGACCGCTTAAAACTACGCCGGAATCATGTCTTAATCAACCGGAAATTCCGGTATTTTACAATAGATTTTGTGCACTGGTACAGTATAATCAAGTGTTTCTAAATACAGATCTTAATAAGATTCTCTTTATAATACAGATTGCTTTTGACTTTTAAGTTTCGTATAGAGAAATATGTAGATTTTTTTTTTTTTTTTTTAATAATATAGTTTTAGCTAGTGCTTGAATCCGTGGATATCCGATTGAATTTTGCCCAATTCACTGGATTTTTATATTTGGTAATAAACTATTTGATGAAATCCGTTAGAATCTGTTGAATTTATTGAAATAATAGGCTTTCAACAGATAACAAAAATATCTATACAGTATATATCCACCGGATTAAAATAGTCGATCTTTCAACGGATCCAAGCTCTAAGTTTTAGTAAAATGTATTTAGAAAATTTTATTTTTATTTTATTTACATATTTCTTATTGTTTTTAACAAATAAAATTCACCATGATGTTCACCACCATAAATACAGTACAGTATTTTAAAATTTTTGTTGCTAAAAATTTAGGTTAAGGTTAGTAGTGTCAATTGGGCGAGTCTTGTCCCTCAATTATCAACAACACTAATCTACCGGCGGCTTAGTCAATTGAGGTGTGTTAGATTTGGCGAGTGGGTAGGTAAGTATCCTTCCTTTATTAGTCTTGGTTCTTCTAACTCGAGTTCTTTACCTTCTCTATCCTCAATAACCTCAACTATCTCACTGCTTCGGATAGTTTGGACACGAGTTTACCACGGCTGATCCTGGTACTTTAGAATATAACAGCCAGACGGTAATTATAATATATCGGGTTTAGGTGTTAGGGGTTGTTAGCGAACTATAGTTTAGATGTTAAGGTCTTATGTTTATTAATGCAAAGGAGACATTCGATATTGCTTCAAAGGCCAACATGGCCTTTATTTATAACAAAAGTTTACTATGTACATATTCGCGCTCTATATCTATGACTATGGTTACTTCTAACTGTGATTACCTTTGTGACTATTATTACTATTATGACTTTGATGACTATGATTATACTAGCGTTCCCTTCTTTAATGTTTATTTTACCCGTATCATCCTTTTAATTAGAAAGGACTTTTCCTATGATTCGGTCCTTTCTGACGTTTCTGACTATTCGGATCGTGTAACCCAAATCGGATAATAATCGTCGTACCGAAAGGCCGGGGTACGATTATGTGAATTGAATCAGTAAATAATGAATATAAACTTAATTTAACGGGAGACCCGACCTGGTCACGTTACTGGTTTTACAGTAGGTATAGTTAGGGTTAGAGATAGATAAACTTTTTTTAGGCGCTGAGTAAGTTTACTTGTTTACTTAGAGTACCAATTACCGATTATTAGAGATATAACAACTACGGTTTCAGCACCTATAGTGCATTTATAGTTTTATTAGACGAAACTAGTGTTCCGAGTTGGTCAAAAATTTTCAAATCGATTAGTTGTCAATGGGGATGGATCAGTCCGGTCCAGTCCGTCCTGGTCCTCGATAACCTAAAAAAAACGGTCCTTGGTTAATTAAAATACAGTACTACAATTTTATTGGCTAGCGGAGAAACTCAAATCATATGATATTAATAATCAATTACGTAGCATACTTTTTTTAATAATTGTAATTTGATATTTTTAATTATTTATGAAGACTGGTCCGGGACTAGTCTCAAGACCGAGGACTGAATAACTGTGGGACCGGTTAAAAGACTGATTCTTATTCAGTCTTTCCAGGACCTGTCCATCCCTAGTTGTCAACTTGGTTTCATTTAACAGTCACATGCTTTAATAAATTTGATTGGTCCAATAAAGTATCACATGTTTATTGTACTACATTTCACTAATTTGATTGGTTTAATTTTATTATGTAGACAATCAACCAACGATTACGTAGTTGGTTAAAAAAAATTTAATTCAGTAGTTAATTAGTTGTCAATTAGTTGGTTTTTCAACTAACGATTTGGATCACTAGACGAAACCAAAATAGGTTTGTCAAAAAAATTTTTAAAAGACGAAATGGCGAACCGACGAAGGTGAAGAAACTTATAAAATGTAAAGAAATTAATGAAAGTTATAGGATGATATTCATATAATTGATCAACTAATTAAATCTTTCAAAGAACACATTATTTAATAAGCTTAATTATTGATGTGCCGTTAGGGTGATCTGTCAACTAAGTAAATCAAAATTATATATATGGTATCATATAACGATAAAAAAATTTTTTCGTGCAACATTAATGTTGATACTTGTGAATAAAACAATATAATGACATTTATTTAGATACAAGGCCTTTACAACTAAAATTAGAAACTCAAATTTTAAATAGATCGATTAAAGGTCTCTACAATACGAGTTACAGAGCCAAAGTTTATATTTAATTAAAAAAATTTTTAACAACAGTTTAAATTAGGGGTCTGCAACCCAGGCTCGTGCCTGTGCCTAACAAAAATCTAGGCATGGGCATAGGCATGAAAACTCAAACATGGGCATGACACAGGCACGAAAACTCAAACATGGGTATGAACATGGCATAAAATTTTGGCATGGACATGAGGCACAAGCACAAATGCTTGGCATGGGGATGGGCATAGCAACGGACACAGAAATTTAATTTATTATTTGAGTGCTCGAGAGGGAAAATCATTAAAAATTATCACATGAAAATTGTGATACTAGTAATATTACACGTGATAATTTTTACTTACTCTCGAGCACTCATTTCAGTATTTAATTGTGTCTGGCACTTGTGCCTGGCACCTTGTGCCTAGTACTTAATGCCCATGCCTATAATAGTGCCTGGTTACTTTGTGCCCATGCCTATTATAGTGCCTGGCAGTAGTGCCCATTCCTCAGAAGTGTCTGGCATTTTTGTGCCAATGAGCATGGGCATGGCACAAGGCACTAGTGCCTGGCATGGTGCCAATATACCCGGCATGGACATTTGCAGAGCCCTAGTTTAAAATACGTTCAGTTTATTCAAATGACAAAGTAAATTTAGAAACAAAAAAAAATTGTTTTCCATAAGTAATATGAAAAAAAAATTTGTAATCTGCACATCTAAAAAAAAAGATGTGCCAATTTTCTGATTAATACAGTAATATTGATGAAAAAAAAATTCTAAAAGCTTAAATTATAAGTGACCATACATGGTTTTGATTTACTTGGTTGACAGACCACCCCAATGTGCCACGTACAGTACTTGAGTACGTACTGTACATACAGTACGTGTTCGTATAGTTGTTTCTAACGATTTGATTGGTTGACATAATTCATATAAGTGATCGACAAAATTTTAACGTGTCATTCAACTGTCATTCGACTGACATTCAATATGTCGAATAGCAGATCGAATACTGTAACATGTCAATAAGTCGAATGGCATATTATTCTACATATTGAATGTCAGTCGAATGACAGTTGAATGTCAGTCAAATAGCAGTTGAATGCTGCCATTAGACATATCGAAGTTTTACTATAGTTCGGTAATATGCGTACATTACTATACCAGGTAGTGTTTGTAGTCGATTTTGCATTAGTCGATAAAATCGGCTTAGCTGGCTTAGTCAGTCGATTTTTCAAAAAATCGACTTAGTCGTAGTCGAGTTGATTTTATGTTAAAAACTACAGTAACCAATCAGTCATAGTAGGATCCCAACAAATTCCGAAAAGAAAATCAACGAACATAAAATACGAGCAAGTTTGAGACAAAAATTTGAGGAAATCTCCGATACGTTCCGAAAATTAAATAGGATAATCGACTCCGACTTAGTCGGCTAAGCCGATTTTTAAATATCGGCTTAGTCAAGTCGATAAATAATGGTCGACTACAAACATTAATACCAGGTACAATGACCGGTCATGGGTCATTCTAATTTTAGATCATTTGAAAATGAATGACTGGATTTACTAATTTATTCCCAACTTCTAATTGGCTATACTAATTATTCATTTAGAGGATTATTTATATTATTAATCAAAAATTTTTGTACTCCGATAGTGAAGTTGGGGAGAAATTATGGCACCCCAAATGACTATGGTCATCAGGTCATTAGGTCATTGTAATATGAGTGTCACTGAATTAATAAATTTGGAATAAGTATCATTTTATTTTAGTGTTATGACCTGGGTGGGTACCACCCGGGTCACCCACGGGTGGGCGGGTGACCCGAGTTGAGTTGTAGCAACCCGAGTGGAAACAGGTGGGTCAACCCGCGAGTTGACCCATGAGTCAACCCGTAGGTCAACCCACAGGTCAACCTATGGGTCAACCTGCAGATCGACCCGTGGGTCAACCTGCAGGTCAAACTGCAAGTTAACCTTCGAAATACTTCTGACTACTAATCAGTATGCAAGATTTGGTGTACGTAAACAAGATTTATTTCATTAAACATAAGAAAATGCTATGAAAAAAAGGCTAGTCAAAAGAGATAGTTTTTATAGATGCGAAAAGCTTGTAGCCAATCTAAATAAATAAATATTTTCGCATCCCTATTTCAAATTTATAGACTTTCCAGATTGCTATTCTATATTTACATAACTCAAAATTAGTAGCAAGTTACGATCGCTTTTTTTATCTGTTTAGTTGGCTTTTTTTTTTTATATATATAGAACTATTAATTTAATTAATTTAATTATTCATATTTAACAAAAATAATTTGACATAACTCTTTCCGCTGATTACCAAAACCAATACTAGAGCAAAAACTTTTTTTACAAAACAAGTACTAAACTCAAGGAAACCCAGTAAAATATTAGTTCAAAACAGAAGCGCATAGTATATAGCCTCATAAGACCTTTAAAACAATAAGTAGCAGAAAGCTAAAGTGGACGATTCTAATATTTTAGCTGAAAGTTTGTCTTGTAGAGTATTAAAGTTAAATAGGAGAAGCTACAGAAGTTTGAAGTCGAGAGATGAAAAAAGAGGCATACTACAGTATTTGTACTGGGACAAATACTTTTACATTCACTTACTCCTACTTGATTTTTTTGTACCCATATATCACCTTTGATCCTTTGGATTTTCATTTTTTCTCGATTGTGGGGATTCTGCCTACTCCCGAAAAAGAATCAACAACAACACATCCAAATTAGTAAAAACTACATATTTACAAACAACCCAAAAGTAAACAATGATACATGTGATTAGGCAAGCACAGTTAGTAATGAATTAGGACATTTCCTGGTATTAGAATAGAGATTAACAATTTAGAGATATAAAGTATGTTGTAGTATCAATACTTTATACAATTTTTACAAAAGTCTTGAGAACTATGGAGATAGTACTTGAGCAACATTTTCTTTTCTTTTTTTTTCTTGTTTTTGTTTTCTTTTATATGTTTTTTATCTTATATATATAGTATATGCTGTAGAGTAATACAGTTCTTTATATATAATATTTTTATTTTTCTTTTTTGCTATATGGAAGGGTATTATCAGTTTGGTAATATTTAACTGTATGAGCAAGAAGTCATGATGAGCTAGGTAGTCTCATATAGTAATACCAATAAGGAAGAGATAAACTAGTCTAAACTCTAGGTTGAATTAAAACTACATTATAGCAGGTCATAAATAGGTACCTTTGGGGTAACTAGTCGAGTCTTACTATTGATGTTCGTATTTTGACATGCACTGCCTTCTTTGATTGTTAAGTTAGGCATTATAACCCTTGTAGTTTTTAAATTATATTGAATAAATGATAAGGCATGGCTTGCTGAAAAGGAAAAAAAAAAAAATTATTCATATTTAAATAATATAATAAATAATATATATAAGATATTAGCTGTGCAATTTGAAATAACAAGAAAAAAAATTTTATGATCATAAAAGTTTGCACAATAAAATATTAGAGTGCAACATGTCATATTAACAAATTTGTAAATCTGCTAAGTATAGATTTTTTGATATTACATTAATATATAGAATTCAATTAGTTAGAAGTTCGAATAATAAAATAAATTAGTTAAGGATTTTGCAAAATTAGATGTTTAGATTCACTAACTCATTATTTTCCACTAAATTTTTTATATATCATAATCATAGAGATAAGAACAAAATTTTAGAAGAACTTTTTATATTATTAAAAAATTTGAGCAAAAAAATTAAATTATTCTTTTATGCGAAATTTATATATCTTTGCTATGAATTGACACTCTGACTGATCTACAAGTTCCAAAAAATTTAAATATTATGAGGTTTATTGCAGTAAGTTTGTTATTTATAATTTATTATTTAAGATATAATGATAATTTTTAGTTACGTAGATAAAGTATCTTAATTGTAAACTACATGAAAATATGCAACTTATACTTCCTACGTTAAATATAGTATTTTTCTGACCATATAATATTAACATATATAGCTTAAATTATAAAGTATTCTGGATGTTTTAGTTACTTTGTGTGATAATTAATTGGAATTTTTTTTTTTATAATGTATATATGTGTTGGCTAAATAATTTTTATAATTCTATAGTTTTAATATATATAATGTTTAATCAAAAGGTATTACTAGTAATTGTATGTAATACGTTAAGGTAGAATATCAACTAAGTAATCAAAACTATATTAGATACGTTGGTCAAATTACTATAATCAAATTTTTATTAGCGAGATTAATATAATAAATTGAATATTATTTTTATATTGTTTAATTATTAAACAATATAAAAATAATATTCAATTTATTATATTAATCTCGCTAATAAAAATTTGATTATAGTAATTTAAACAACGTATCTAACATAGTTTTAATTACTTAGTTGATATTCCACTCTACGTAGTAATATGTGTATATATCTATATATATATATGCACATATATATCTTATATATTATGTAGTAAAAAAAAATATAAATGTATATAGTAGTAAATAAATTTTTATTATAGAATGATTTCTTGACTAAAATTGCAGAGCATTTGTTTAAAGAACTACTCATTGACTTAACAGTACGGCGCATTTGTGAAATACCCCAAATCACAACTACAGGAACTCAAAATAGATTTGATCACAATTGTAAGAAAGTTAAAATGGGTTTGGATCACAACTCTGAAAGTTAAAATAGGTTGGGATGGGGAGAAAATGAGTTAGACATATTGCTGCTATAGATCGAAAGAACAAAAAAAAAATTTATGAGGTTAATTTTGGTAAATTACTAATAAATTTGTGTCTAGTTAGTTGGTAACCAAATATTAGCTAAATTTCATAAACATGCTATAATAACTAATTCTAACCAAATTATAGCACTTTTTTTTTTTTTTTTGAAGTATTAACCTATTATAATATTAGCAAAAAGAATAAGTCATAGATTAAATAAATAATTAGAAATTGAACAATATACGTTATATGTCTTGGTACAACTTATCACATAATAGGAAATAAAGAATTGCTTTCAGGTTGAGCACTGAGAGGAAAAACCTATAAGCAAATATTTTAGATATCACTATAACTATGTTATAGTGATATCTAAAATATTTACTTACAAGTTTTCCTTTTGCAGCACTTATTTAGAAGAATTATTAG